GCTCAGTCGCCGCACGTCTCAAGTTTATCAAAAGACAGGAAAAAGAGGAGAAAAACTGGGAGCGAGAATGGAAGGCGCTAAAGGCAGACAGAGCACAGATGAATGGGGTTATATAGATACACACACACACATAGGCAACAATGGAATGAGATAGCACATGAGAGAGTTAGAGCAACACGAACATAACCTCACTTAATTCATTCGTGATTTATTTGACTTACTTTCGGGGACTTAAAATGTGGTTGTAACTGGTCTTCGGCATTCCGGTTTGAGCTGAGAGAGAAAAAACAGAAACGAAACTATTTTTGCGGTCTGCCCATAGCCCACCGAAGTGCTAAGACTGGCTTGCAGTCGTGGCTCTCAATTAAAAATTCCTCTTGAGCTGCTCAGAATTCAATTCAAATTTTCGGCACAGATTCTTGTAAGCCTTGGCAGAAGCCAGCAAAACCGCTGATAAAATGCGACAGCAGCAGGAGCAGCAGCCACACACTCACATATACAGACACACACATTTCTAGAAAGTTGGCTAAGCCATGCAAAAGCAAGTTTCAATTTTTTGGCTCGAAACGGCATTTTGTCACTTTGACAAAATTGTTGGTACTTTTCGAACAGGGGCTTAAACAGAGGGGCTCGGTCCAGACGGAGGCTGGGCCTGGCTGGGGGCCTGGATTGGGGCCCAACTTGTCGTTCAAGTGACATTCAATTATTATTTCAGGCAGGGCTAAAAGTTTTGCAACAAAACGAAATTTAGCTACAAACGAGCAACGACAATATTGTTAGAATATATAGTATTGCGAGGCAGAGAACTGTAGGGCACTGAGGCAGCGATAGCCGAGGACACGGAAAGACGAGCAAACAGTCAGACAGTCAGACAGACAGAGAGACAGAGAAACAAACAGAGAGACAGGCAGGCAGACAGAGAGACAGTCAGACAGTTAGATAGCTAGTTGGATAAGAAGAGAGGCATAATGCGTATTTGCGCATTAAATGCAAAACTTGGCAAATAGTTTGTGTGCCGAAAATAAAATCAAAACAAAATCTAACAGAAATAAACGGAAAAAAATTCAAATTAAATGAAAATCAAAAAGTTTTCAATTGCATTTGATGAAAAGCGAGCGACAGCCAAGACAAGCACAAGCCAAGCAGCATTAAGCATGAAGAAGCTCAACTTTGTTTTAAGCTTAGGCCGACTTTTAAACCAAGAAAGTTACAAAGATAAAAGCATTTAAAGTTTAAACCTCAATTAAGCTGCAGGCGGGGGAGGCGACGCTGGAAACACGAAAAGAGAAATATGTAAGAAATGAGATACAAAAGCTGTGAACGCTTGAAGATTCTAATTCATGTGGAGGAAAGTTGTCTTTGGTTTTTACAACTCATTAACAAAAGTCAAACTCTACGAGATATATGAGGTATTTGTAGAGTCTTTATAGGTAAATTTTAATGCACATTCGCGAAAAGTTGTTGCATGCCAAATGGCTGGAAGGCGGTCGAACTACGAGTACGAGTGCGCGCAGTTTTGGGCAGAGCCAGAAGCATGCAGCTTAAAATTAATGACAGCGGAGTAAATGTCAGCGCAGAATGAAAAACAAGCCCGAAATGCCAGGCGCAACTTTGCCAACCGCGACGTAATTGTATGTGTGTGTGTGTTAGTATATGGCAAAAACAATAACAGGACGTGGACAAGGATGTGAGCGTGGACGTGAATGTGAATGTGAATGTGAACGTGGCTGCAGACAGGAGCGGGCAACTTGAGAAGGACGCTGCCGACTGCGATGCATGGTTTCCGGTTTTTGTTCGCGCGCTGGTATTTTCCGAGCTCCGCCGTACTCTGCCCTGCCGCGCCGCTCTGCCACGGCTCTGCCATTGCGTGCGCGAGTGTCGCATATGCACATTTTATTTATAAACTCACAGCAAAGTAGAAAATAAAAAGCGTCCAGCTTCGAGCGCTATGCACCTCAGCGGATGGCAGCTCGCGGCCCTCCCAGCAAAAGCTGGGCCCGCCGCCCCCTTCGGGTATTGCATGTGCAGCGATAAAAGTGGTAAAATGCTTATCAAGCTCAAGCCGGATGTGCACAGTGTCAAACAGCGGCAAGCAGGAGCTGCACGAGTAGGTAGCAGCAGCAGCAGCAGCAGCAGCTGCGGCAGCTGCAAATAGTTTTTACGGCAACTGTAATATAAGCGGTAGTTTAATGCATAATTGAAAAGCACGCAAAGTTAAACAATAGAGCGCCCAGGGAGCCCCCGTCACACTAAACACAAGCTGACTGCAAAAAGGGTTTACACTGAGAGAAAAAACGGCGGGCACTCACAATGATCAACATTATGAAATCAAAAGCAATTGTAAGCACTTCCGACCCTTGGGTACATATTGATTGAAATTCAAAATATTTAAAATGTTGTAGAGTTGCCTTTATAAGCGAACCCTGTAGACCTTCAGCTCTTCTGGTTCAATGATTAGCCATTCAGTTTTTCTGGCTTAGCACTTGTGTTGACCAGTGTTAATCGTGTTAAAGGGCACCACATCGCTTCACTGACCATTTTGCTCGTATTTGACTTAATTTACGAGTCACAACACGGCAAGCAGCGGAAGAGGGGGTCAGGGGGTAGAGGAGGTAGAGGGGCGGCGCCGCCAGCCAAGGAAAAGCCCTGGGGAAATTTGTGTCAAATCACAATTTAATGGCAATCAACATTTTTGCTATTTCGCACTTGCTTGCACTTGATAATGGTAATTATTTAACAATAAGTGTGCGATGGAGCACGAAACAGGAGCGTTAATGAACTGTGTAATGTTTTTACAATTATAAGCGTGAAACACAATTGAAAATCGACACATTGAAAGAAAAGCGTAGCTAGAGTGGGACTTAACAATCAGTGCGATTACATACATACATATATATTTTTGTATTATATGTATATATATGCTAATTGAATGCCCACTTAAGCCAAATCAGGCCAAATCGGCGCTTTGTGTCACACTTGAGCTGCACTTAAAGAGCGCTCTCTCAGCCGTCAAACATTACTCGTCTTCATCCGGCGACTGCACAAACAAAACGCGCTATAAAATGTAAAAATACTGCCAAAGTATGCAAAGCTCCTCATAAAAACACTCAAAAACTAACGTGCATTGCAGCCAGGCAGCAACTGTTGGATGCTGCTGCTGTTGTTGCTGTTGCTGTTGCTGCTGCTGCTGCTGCTGCTCCAACAACCATGTCCTTCGTCCTTAGTCGCCTTTCGGCCTTCCTCCTCTGTGGTGTGTGCGTGCTTTTGTCTGCGCTTCGGTCTATGTCTGTGTCTGGAGCTACTTGCTTAGCTACTTCCTGCCGCCTCTACATGCCCTGGCTTCCTTCCTGAAAATCCATCAGCGCTAATTTTGCATATTTTACTTTTACTTTATTTTTTATCTCACACTCTACGTTGCTCTATCTCTCTGTCTGTCTGTCTACCTCGCTCCCACTCAAGCATCTCTCCTGCTCAGCACTTTATGCGCTTTTATTTGCTTTAGCCGGCTTGTGACTTGTGTTTTCATAGCCGCAGCCCAAAGATATTTTAGCTATGCACAGTTGAGGGCAATCCGGATTCAGTGGCCTTGTGTCTGCTCTGATGATGAATTATGTGCGCCACGTACGTTATTAATAATTCCTGTCCTGTCAACAAATACATTGTTACATTTGCCCACACACCAGCCCACGGTCCGGCCCCACATCCAGTCAGCCAACCAGCCAACCAATCTTCACGCCTTTCCTAGCCGCAGGCTCTGCTCACATTGCGTATGCGTAATATGTTTATTTTCAACACTGCGGCCAGATATTTATTAAGCAGCTGCTGCGCTGCTCCGAAAAAATAACAACAAAGCGTGCTTTCAAATTGAGGCCCATGGCTTGCTGGTGGTGAAAGGGGCACAGGGGATATCTGCAAAGAAATACGGCCGTGACGCAAATCACGTTTAAAGCAACACACAGCAGATGACGAATGCCATTTTGTCAACACGGAGGTCAAATAGCTCGAAGATGGGGAAAAAACAACAGCTTAAAGCTTATTAAATTTATTAAATTCAATCAAGCTAAACGTCTGCAGCTAACACGATCGACTCACGTAATACGCAGCAGCTGCGGCATTACGCATACACCGCGTGTTGCGCCATCGTCATCGCTGTGCCAGGCTGAGGGCTGAGAGCTGAGCGCTGTAAGCTGTGAGCTGTGAGCTGAGGGCGCTTCCGATGTTTGTTTGCACGTTGTATTGAGTTTCAAGTGCACAAGTTAATTGCTTGAAAAATTGAACTCAATCAATTACAAGGGCACGCGACGTGCATACGTGTGTGTGTGTGTGTGTGTGTATGTGTGGGAGCGTGTGAGGTGGAGCGCAACCAAGGCGTTGCCTGCCGCGAGCAACTGTTTTATTACAAGAGCACGCCAGCACACATCGCGTGCATCACACGCATCGAGTGTGTGTGTGTTTGTGTGTGTGTGTTAACACTCCGCTTAATAACGGCAATTAATTATATTATGTTGCATACTTAAGGGCGCGGCAGATATTACATGCTTTTGGGGCAAAAACTTAAAGTTGAGCGCATTTAATTGGATTCAATTTACCAACTCTCAGCTCGCAACTCTCAGTTTAGCTAATTATTTTGTGCTGTGCCGTCATTTGCATCTAAATAGCTACAGCAGAGCTGACGTCAAATCAAATGTCGGCACTTTTGGGGCCAACTGTGGCCAGGCCAACGCAAACAGACGCTGCACATTAATTAAATATTTATGTGTGCTGCACACACCCACACACATACGCACAGACACTCACAAACAAATAAACAATTATATGTGCTAGAACCAAACAGAGCGCAACAAATAAAGAGACAAACAGCAACAACTACTTGACTTGCAGTCAAACACACACACACACACACACATCCCTATTCAGTCGCTTATTGTTGAAGTACAAATTTAATATCTAAGCTAAAGACAATGCAATAAAGTTGAAATTAGTTCGGGCCATAATTTCAGGTGAACATCCGGAGGCAATGCAAACTGGCTCATCCGGTTGCCAGTACAATTGGCTGACAATTGTCATGCTGCTTGGCCTCGTGCTCGGCTACAGTCAGCGGCAGCAGCAGCATTGTGCCACTCTTGCCTGCAACAGAGACAGCGTCACGCTCGCGGCCAGTGAAAGTGGCAGACGTAGAACAGCAGGAGCACCAACTACAGCAGGAGCAACGACTACAGCAGCAGCAGGAGCAGTAGCAGCGAAACGGACTGCTGCTGGCCATGAGGCAACGGCTGCTATTAGCTACAGTAACAGCAGTAGCAGCAGCAGCAGCAATAGTAACGATTACCAGTCAGGCCACGCCCACTCCCACGCCCACGTCGAAGCTAAACGCTGCTGTCACAGATGATCGCAGAGCGGCATCGAATGTGGAAACTAAACAACGCATGTGAATGTGTTCGTGTGTCTATGTATGTAAGTGTAACTCTAACTCTGTATGTGTACGCGAATATGTGTCTGACTGTCACGGCTAGCTAAATATTGGCTTAGTTAAGCAAGCCAAGTCCCGTTTGCCAGTTCTAAACTAGCAAGTCGCAACTTTCCCGGCACCCTAGGCGAATGGACTAACATTTAATGTGTATTTTGTATAGTTTAAGCAGCGTGTAAATAGCAAATAGCAAACTTATTAACGTAATTGCAACATCAAATGTATCACATTACAAACAAAACGAAAGTATGAAATAAATTAAAGTAAATACAAATAAATATAAATACAAATATAAATATAAATTAATGCGAACATAAATACAGAGATTTTCGCAAATGGCTCTTTAAACAAACACATGAGCCCGAAGCCAGAGCGAGGTGCATAAAATAATTAGATAAAAAACGCAGCAACCGCAACAGCAAATACCAGAAGAAGATGACAGAAGCGGATGGAGAAAAAACTGTAACACTCAGATTGAATTGCCATAAAATATTTAAATTAATTGCTATATCATGATATGCAAATATTTGCGCTCACATTGGCAGTGCCAACTCAAATGTGATTCTTTATTTGTGAAAAATTAAAAATCAGTTCTTTTTATTCAATAAATGACAATTATTTTGCAAATCGAATGGGCAAAAAAAAAAATCCTGAAATATTTAGCAAATACTCTCCCTCCCTGCACCTCTGAGGCTTCTTCAAGAGTATGCGAGCTGCATAAATTTGTTATTAAATATTTGCTCTGAGGCCTATTTTTCACATTAATTAAATACAGTTACCGCAAAAATATAAAAAATTATGACTTTAATTTCTTATTATTGCATTTCTGCCGGAATTACATTTTTTAATTATATTTGCTCAGCAAATGTGTACACAAAATGGTTGTATCTTTGTGTTGCAATTTGATTTTATGTTCTGTGCGTATGCAAATTCAAATAAATTAATTTAATTTAAAGTCACTTGACGTTCGAATTTCTATTTGACAATGCCAATTGCTAACTCATAATAAAAAAAAGATAGCCATAGAAAAAATGTTGAACTATTTGTTCAATGCAAACACTACAAATGGCTCAATTATTGGCTACAATGCAATCAAAAATTGGTAATGTAATTAAAAGTTGTTTGAATGTCGCTCAGCCTGCAGATGTACAGATGTAGGCTGTGGCTGTGCCTCTGGATGCGGATGCGAATGCGGATGTGAATGTGAACGTGGCTGTAACTGCACGCTGTAATTCATATTGGGCAACAATGATATTATAATGAAATTTAATCTAAAGCCTCATTATAATTGGTTATCAATATTGTTGCTGTTTGTGCAGTGCAGTCGAGCGCCAGAATAATGGTCTTAATAATGAAAACAATTAGTTGCATTCCAATCAATAAAAGCTGTAAAAATTAATGTTAGTACACTCTACATATGCATATAATATAAACTTAATGATTATAGCAAATGTCTGCTTAATTGCGAGCATGAAATACGATTAAGACTTTTCAGTTTTCCAAATTAATAAAAATAATCAAAAACTCTTCCTTTTCCCAGCAATTGTAAGCATTGAAATTCGTCTAAACATACTGTAAAATGTTAATAAATTATACATATACATATAGAGTATACATATATATATATATAGCATAATTGTATGCCAGCCAATTTGTATATGTTGCTCAGCATTTGTGTTAGGCTGTTGCCCAAATGCTACGATCTAATGGCTACGATTATGGCATTAATTCCAGTTATATTGTAGGTCATCAGACAAAACAAATTCCTGTACATTAAAGTTAATTAGTGAAACTTTAGAGCGCCTGTGAGAGAGTGTGAGTGAGCGTGTGTGAGAATGTAATCCCAAAATAAGCTATATAAACAACCTATACTTAAATTATTATTAGATTTAAGCCAAAAAATTATGCATCTGAATAAAGCAATTGAATTGTGTGAATGGAAGGAAGCTAACTACACATAAATATATGAGTATATAAACCCTACAATACTTTTAACTGTTGCATTCGAATACAAGTAAATTGATAAATAAACAAAAACAATTGATCAAAGTGTGTATTATAATAGTATACCATAGAGCATAGTAACATTTATAACTGGGCAGTCAAAATCAATAACAAAAGCATAAACATAAGCATCAACAAAAACATAAACATAAGCATAAACAACTGTGCACACGCGAAAGCATTGACATAATAGATAAGAAGACTTAGCAGAGCATATTACAACAATAACAGAATTCATAGAAACAATAACAAAAGCCATATGCAAATGCTGTCAGCAGAATGAAAAAAGAATTGCAAAAGAGGAGACAAAATAAAACAGAAATTGTAAACTGCTGTGCGTGTGGCACGTGCCACTGTAGCAACAACAACTAAAACAACAACTATGTACATTAAACAGTGCAAAACGAAGAACAATTAAAGATTTTTTTATTTAAAAAAGAAAAGAAAAAATAAGAGAAATCTGAGTTTACGTGTTTTGATAACTTATGAAGCGGATGCTTTTGCAAACAAGTCGTGCGTTTCTTTTGCAACGAGCTGTTCAATTATAGTATATGCAAACTACGCCACGTCACTCCTGCCTGTTCTGCCCGCATCTCCACCTGTCCTCGACGACAGCCAAAGAAATGAAAAATAAGCTGCAACGTATGCGTGTGTCACATGTAATCTCTGGATTATAGACAGCAACATCAACAGGCAGGCAAGCAGGCATGCAGTCAGGCAGGCTGGCAGCCATGGGCAGAGTCCTTGCCCAGGCACTGGGGCACGAACGTGGCAAATGGGCACTTTTTAAAACTGGGTCAGCGTATAAATCGAAACGGCTTAAGCGGGAGGAAGCTAAGGCATCAATATTGGCACATCGAAATATTACATGCTCTTTCAAGTCTTAATTTTCAGCATCAAATCTCACTGTATTTACATATTAAAATTATTTTATAAGATTTGAGCAAGGACGCATTGAATTTCAATTTTTAAAATCACTCAGCTTAAGTTAACCAGCTGTTTAGCAAGAATTTATTTTCGTATTATGGCTGAGTATACAAAAGGAAATGCGGTGCGCACTGCTTGCCATAAGCTCAATATCCGCTTGCACTGCTTTAACACTGCTTAGCGACAGCGTCTGTTAAAGCTGATTACGCAGCTATTGTGGGCCGATGTGGCAAAGAGTATCTGATAATTCCCTTCACTGCGAACTTTGACAGAGGCTGCAACAAAACACGCATACCAACTGCAAAGCCTCATTAATTAACACACACGGCGAGTGAGGGAGAGAGAGAGAGAAGGAGCAAGCATGCGACAAACAGAAATGGAAATGGAAAAAACAACATGGAAATTAAATGGCAACAACAATTGGCGAATGCAACACTCAAACACACAATTGCAGCTGTAATTCTATTAAAATTCGCCACAAAGCGACGCTAATCCTCATGCATGTCCGCAGCCAAAATAATCAAGCTGGCCAGCCACATGCAAGCCAAACAGCAATGAGCGGAGCCACGCCACGACGCCAGATTCTGTTGGTTTTTGTGACTGCGTTGGCATAAAAATATTTATACGCTCGCTTGGCCTTTCGAATTGATGCGCGCTGCTTATGCAAATTTTCTGATTTTTCCCATTTTTTTTTTCAGCTTTTTGTGGTTCGGTTGGCCAAGCCACGTGGTTTCTGTCGTCCTTGTCCTTACGCTTCCTCATTGGACATGCCCAACAGCATGTAATTTGGCCTGATAGATTTTATTTAATAGCCTAGCATTAGACACATTTGTTGCCCCGCAGGAGCAACAGCAGCAACAGCAACAACAGAAACAGCAGTCGCAGCAGCAACAGCAATATTAGCCGCATCAGCAATCGCAGCATTTTCGATATATTGATTCGAGACCAGCAACGCACAAAACATTTTGAGCTTTGCTTTAAAAGCGCGACCCGCGCACACGTTACAAGTTTCCAGTTGGCATTTATTATGGCCACAATTTAGCAGATTTTATGCGCTAATTTTGCAGTAAATTTTTTGGTCTAAGCGTTGAAAGCCTTTTACGACCTCTAATATTAGCAGCAAAAGCGAGTGAAATGTGGCATTTAAATAAATGACAAGAGAGATAAGCCGAACGGGTTAGGTTAGTGGGACAACGCGAATGAGCTCAATGAGATGAGAAACAAAAGTGTTTTGAACTATTAAGGTGAGTAGTAGATGGAGTATTCAATGTATGGAAATGGAAACCAGCTATGGAATAGTTTAAAGAGTTCTCTGAACTATGGCAGACATACGGCTTAGGTGTAGAGGCACGGCAAACCCAAAAAAGTTGGGCTCGTTTAATGAAGCTAGCCAAATTCCAAATTTGTGTTCTTTTACTTTTGAACTTGTTTGATATAAGAAACTTTTTATGAACTTAATGATGAACGAGTGGGAAACTAGCAATATATATATAGCAATATAATATAGCAAACAATGAGCAACTATTTTGCTAGGAGAGTACGAGAATGATATAATGCTGAATGGTGTTTTGGTAAGCTTAGGAGAAGGCGCATTGTTGAAATTTCGATGTTGCTACATGATTTTAATTGGAATCTTTATACACGCCGCATTACGTTTTTGTTTAGTAGCAAGTAAGAAGCAAGCTGAATTTCTATTTACCCCAAATTGGGCAACAACGTTTCCTTTTATAGCATAGCTCGCCAATAACTGTTGGTCGTTTCTCGATGTCTGCATTATAGCACTCAGAGAGCAACTAACCAATTGCGTTGCCTCTTCAACGAGCTCGTTCACGATCGAGCAGAAACCTTCGGCTCAGTTTTATTAAGCAAAAGGCCTGCTGTGTATGTATTGGTATGCACGAGAGGGATCTGTTCGCTAAACCCATTCGTATCGTACGTGAATTGGGTGTATGCATGTATATGTGAGTTGGTGAACTATTTCTTCACATACTGAGTCTCTCTGTGCAATCGAACGGCGATCGTATTGCTCCCTAA